ATGCCAGTACTTCCCTTCTGTTAGCAATGAAGCTTCCCACCGGGGTACGAGCCACCAAGGAGCCACTGGGATGGGCCAAACCTGCAGTTTCTGGAGTGACCTCTAGGGACAGCCAAGGAGAACGCAATTCTCTGGCATCAAACAGCGTCTCTCTTCACTTTCACTTCTCTAAAAAACTGTCCCTCCGTGGGACCATCGGGAAGGAACAGAGAAGGAAGTGGTGTGAGTTTCAGTAATGAATCAAGGCCAGGAAAGAGACACAGGAAATCCAAATCTGTAGATACTGAACGCTTTGCCATGGCCACAAAATGCATCCAAATGCACGTCTCAATTTCCAGTTGCTTCCTCTTCATACCTTCCCGAGAAACTCCAGAGGCCAAGGCAGGGGACCCCTGCATCCAGGGAGGCTGCTGGCCATCCAGATAGTCATGCAGGCTGCTCACCTCCCTCCAAAAGGTATCTTGTTCATCCAAGTATTTCAAATGAAACCATTTCAGACACAAATGAGCTCACTACTTTTCAGCACCACATCACATTTTTTATTTTGAATTCCAAAGACTTCTGAGTTCCTTTTCCCCATCCCCAACTGCATCTTACTTCGAAAATTCCCAATTCTTCAAGTGTGACATCACGATGCGTTGACATGAAAAATTAATTAAAAATTTAAAGCACTGAATTGTAACTTCTTTGCATGGTAAAGGATCACACAGAGGGGAATTGCATTTTAAACAAAGATCTTCTATAATTAGTGATAATAACAAAGGAAATATTCATAATTACATCAAAGGATTCTTCACTGAGTATTGTTTTTATTTGCTTCCTGAGGGAGCATGGAGTTCTCTGAAAAGATAACACTATTTTAGGCAGATGTAGATAAATAAATAAGGGTCATCCAGAGAATCCAACTTCAAACCAAAGCCTGAAAAATAATCCAGAAATCAGAAGAGGTTCTCTAATTGATCTGATTACAAGCCAGACATCAGTTCTCTGCTCGGTATGCAGTGCTGATACGTCTGTAGTATGTAAACACCTTTTCAGATGAACGTGACACACAAGACTGCAGCAGACCCTGGGTGCCTGTCTCTGCATATAGGAGACGTAGTCCGGGGATTAATTTCATCCACCAACATAAACATAGGACTAATTTTGTGAAGTACAGATAGCTAAAAATAGTAAAGAGTAATGTTATGCAATAAAACCTGGTATATGTTTCCCCTTTCCAGACAAGGGAATCTGACATAGCTTCAAATAGAAAGAGGCGGCAGTCTGACCAGAACACAAAATATATTCGTTTCATTCACCTCCAAAGAGACAGTATTTGAATCTCTCATATATTAAAGATGCATGCCCACTGTCATATCATTTCAATGGCTTAAATACTAAACAATGATCAAAAATTCACAACACTTCTGCCCTCCCCTGGAAAAAAAAATAGGTCAAAAAATAAATGGAAACAAACTGTATTCTGCTCTTTTTTATGCATTTGAGAGAAAGAAAAAAAAAATGAGGGAGATAAATCTGCATAATACTGAACCGAATCTCTTTAATTCCAGTCAGCTTTTATCATTCAATCACCGAGTCTGTATGTGGAAAAATTCATGCTAATTCCCCCTAGCAACAGCCGCAGCCTATCAGGGGGAGCCCTGCACCAGGCAGCTGCCAGCCAGCAAGAATAACTCTAAGTAGGTCAGGCCTGCATTTCTAAAAATGCCACGGTCTAGTAACCCCACTGTCCCGTCTGTCTGCCCTGCCCCATAATAACCTCGATTGCTTGGTGACACAATGACATACTACCCTGTTAGAGCGCAATCAAATCACGCTGCATTATTCTGCTGCGAGCATCACTGCTGGATGAAGGACCCGTCGAGGGGCAGCATTAATCAGGCAGCCATTCATGTCCACTAGCACTTCACTCTGGAGATGGGGCCTGCATTAATGACCAGCTGTTTGAACCAACACAAACAAAATAATGTCTTCCACCCTGCTGGCTGCGCAGAATACACTATTCTAATCAGGCAGGTTATGCTCACTGACTAAACCTAAGATGTAAATTAAACAGCGCCAGACAATGCCAGCTTTTGTAACCTTCTATTAATTAAAGTAAGTATATTTAAATTATACTACACACAATTCAAAGAGCTATTGGTTTAATATACAGAGTCATCTCCTCCTACAAATTTGTGTTCACACTCCAAAAAAAAAAAACCACCCCACCCCACTGTTTGCATAATGCAATCTACCTATCCTGGTAAATTAAAGAGCGACATAAACAGAGCTGAACTGCAACCGACTTCTGCTGGGAGCAGGGAACCACGCCAGGCTTCTAGCAATTGGGCTGCGTGAACACCAACAGACATGCACACTGAATATTGTGGAGGGGTATTGATAAAAGACCTGTAAACATCTTCCCAGCCACAACGCGGAGAAAGGGCAGTCGGAGCAGATTAAGCACTCCTTGAAATCTCACTGCTTAAACACTGCTGAGTTGCCTGCACAGGCCTAAAAATAATTGCAGAGGTCAGAAAGCTCCTGGCGGGGTCTGGGCATGTGCCTTTAAGAGAGCACTGCCGCGCACATCCCTCTTCCCTGCACAGCCCTGGGGAATTCTGCATGGCTGCAAGATGCTGCACGAAGCCCTTTCTGCACCCCCTCACTCTTAACCAGAGAAGCCTTAATATAAACCACACCAGACCCCAGCGAGTCTTCTCTGGGGTGGTATTTCAGCATCAAATCTGTAACACCAGAACAGAATTTCAGCATGCTTCCTTTGTGATTAATTACACCCTTTTAAACACCTCGGTGCCGCACGCCGGTCTCTCCTTTCAGAGCATGCCTCCGTGTCACACAGCTGCCTGTACAGGATGGAGCTGGGAAAGACATTTTCTAGGATAGACGGTTCGTCTGCATTTTTTTCTGAAGGATTCACACTTTCACTCGGTGAATGCGTGCCCTCTGACAAACCGATAATTCAGTCTTCACTGCTGCAGAATTCAGCTAGTCTTGTACATGTAATCCATCCACATTTGATTTAGGAACACAGCAGATTCATTAATCCATTTTGTCTTTCTTGTTTGAACCAGGCTTGATACCCCAGGTTATGACTGCCTTCCTTTGCTTTGTGGCACACATCACATAGCTATTCTTGGAGAGATACAGTCACTGACTAACCGTGGACTCCTAATTACAAGCTGCTGACATTTTGCTCGTCTCTGCAGCTTTGAAGCTGCGAGTTAAGAGTTTCTCTTCCTCCTCCTTGCATGCTTTAAGCTGCCCAAGTTAGATGCACACCACAGTTTCAGAAAGGTATAGGAGTGGCATACGCTCCTTTGCAGAGCCTACTGTATTGCCAAGGTTATTTTTCTTTAAGCAAACAGAAAACTACAGTTTGGGAGTAATAAGACTCCTTTGCCCCCAGCACAAGAATGTTATCCAACAGCTGGCTAAATATAATCCAACACACAGGCCTGCCTTTGTAGGCTGGGTAACAAATAGTGGAAGGGCCAGACAGGCGTCTTGCAGGGTAGCTCACCATGACTATTGGGAAATCCCCTCGTACACATTTTAGGATGACATTATAGTCTACGGATTTGTATAAAAGGAAAAAAAAAAGGAAGAAAAAGCCCTCCTCTTTCTTAGTAGGCAGCTGCTAGAAGCCATGCCAAGCTCCACTAGCTGAGTGCAGCACTTGTTTCCCCTATTTCTGCATTGTTCAGACACAGCCAAGCTGAGCTGCCTACCAAACTAAATATGCCTGTACTGTGACAAGTCTACCTGCTCTAAAAACATGGTCTCTCCCATGCGTGTTCAGCAATACACCCACATACATTTCAGAGAAATCTATTGCCAAATGTGAGCTTTAACTTTTCTCAATAGATGAAGAATCCTTTTTTTAATTAGATGCTGATTTTGAAATTCTAAAAAAAATAAAAAAAAAAAAAAAAAAAAAAAAAAAGGAAATGTAACACTGAATATAAATGCTCGGTTGAGCATTTAGCCATCTGATGACTGTGGTAGCCAGCTGGTCTAGAAGTCATCTGGGATGCATTTATTTTGATTAGATTGATCACATTTCTATTTACAGTATAGAATTTTTCACCATACTGAATACAGCTGTGTTTATAAAGATTTTAAGATGGAGAAAATGAAACCCCACAGTTTCTCTCAGCACAGTGCAGAAGATTCAGTGCTTCAAGGTGTTAAGCGGAAAGTATCTGCTTTCACATTTCTTAAAAGAATTCTGTCTACATCTGTTTTCGCAAAGTGCCGCCTCAGTCAGGAAATGGGTGTAGAGCTATAGCTGAAAATACAAGCTGCAATCAAGTCTGACCCAGCAAGTGACAAACTTCCTTTGTAAATTGGTCAGAAGTGTCTTTCTTTCGTGTCTATACAGGCTCGCACACACACAAAAGCACATACATACATATATATACACACACAGAGTGCGTGGTTGCTGTTTTCCCTGGGGATATTGCTGCAGCCACCTAGCTCATCAGTTCCCTCCCTGACAGCATCAGGAGTGTTCGAGCTACAATTTACAGTCCCTTCGTCCATACATTGCTTTGTTACCATCCTCTCTGCAATGAGAATGCACAGAATCAAACAGCACATAGCATTTCTTTTCTTTTGCATTTGCATTCACTCGCTCTCTCCTTCTCCCATGGCTTTGCCTTAACAGGCAGACGCAGCCGATACCTTATTTATCCATCTCCAGCACAACACTGAGGTGAAACCTGACTGCAGCACTGTGGCTTCCCCATGTTAATCCTCTGGAGCAGCAGAGGCTGGATTCTTGCTGCTGATGCCCTTGTCGAGCACTGGATTACTTTACATAATGTTTCTTTAAGCTTTCACCCACTCCATCCTAGATTAACACCCCTCCTTTCTCCTCCATTCCCCCCCCCCCCCCCCCCCCCCCCCCCCCCCCCCC